ACATTGACCGAGAAGTCGGGTGCCAAGGTTCGGCCTTTGTTGACAGCCTCGCATGTGTACAGTCCTCCAGCCTCGGGTTCCAGATCGATCAGCGTCAAATGACTGATGACCGTGTTACAATCGACCACCGTGTTGTTGATCACATGTCTGACTCCTTCTCGAAGCAGACCCCAATTATATCGCCAATTCACGGCCGGCGGCGGTCTCCCATGTACAATACAGGTCAAGGTCAGATTACCTGATCGTTTGCCGAACAGCTGAGTCTCGCCAGAGGGTTCGACAACAACTGGTAGACCTATATTCGGGTGAAGATGAAGCATTACATAAGTGACAGAGATTGTCCCACTGCGCGTTATATGATATCGACATCACTGTTAAATGTGCGTCATTGGGGAAGCAGAGTGATCACGAGTTTATTCTGCGCCAAATTACTTCCTTAGGTGAATTCCTCATGCTCAGTGAATTGGTAAGCAACGTGTGACTGTTTCAATATTATTGAGCATCATCCACCAGGACAAACGAACAGAATGCCGGCGTGCTAAAAACAAAAATGAGTGTGTTAAACCCATATTTCCATTTAAAAGCTTTCTGCAATGTTACATTCCAGTTGATTTCTTCTTTCTTTGGGGGGGGGGACACCGTATGTCAGATGATGTTCTAGATTTGTTTATATTTTTGATTTTGTTTCTTGAAGGCAACTTGCCATTCCGTCTGCTCCTATGCACATACAATTTTATACGAGGCCTCAACTTATGAGAGTTTTGGTCACACTCGGTCTGCTCAAGGTCATCCCAGTTGCTAGGTAGCATATCAAAAAAATTGATCAGTATTGATTTCATTCCCACTGAAACACTAGATTGGGGTGTCTCATTATTTTTGAAAGGTACAAAAATGTAGAAGAGAGCTTAAATCAAACCCCAAAGATCATAAAAGTTGAAAATAAATTATTTTTTCAATTGCTATAAATAATCGATAGCTTTAATTCTCGACTAAAGCCGATTCCCAGAGTTGCAGTGTTGTAAATCTGTGACAAAAGCAATTATACGTTGTAGAAGGTTGATTCACCTGGAATAAGCAAAAAATATCTGTCGAAAAATTTTAAAAGATGCCTGGTTTTATCTGCAAGCTTTCTTCGTTTGCTGTGCTCTGGTTCTTCTCGGGTTTTCTCATTTCAGATATGAGCACAACCTACGCAAACCAATTGCTCTCCGTCGGGAATCGGCTTGAACCCGATTTATTTTTGAGGACATCAGACCACCGATGCCATGTTGCAGTCATTGCATTACACAGCTGCATAAATCATAGAGATACTCTTAAGTGTGTGTGCGTGGTGATAGGGGTGGTGATTGTGGTGGTGCGGACAGACGATAACAGAACAAACGTACTGCACTCGTTTTCATCTTCCCCATTTGGTTCACAGTCCGCCACTCCATCGCATAAAAATGCCCGTGCAATTGGTTTATTACTCCCCGGGCAAATGTATTGGGTACCATTGCAAAGGTCCGGTTTGGTAGGCGCTGAAAATGGCAAGAGAGATGAAACCATTGGGAAGAACAACGAGAGAGAAAGTGATTGAGGGACATTAGTGACAATGGTGAGTTGTTTCCATCGATCCACTTGTTATCTCAAAAAAATACAAATGCTACCAGGGGTTTGAATATTTTCGTTTTATTCTCAGGAAAGTGCAATCAGCCATTTAATCGGTATATTGAAGCCATATAAATGATTGGCATCGTGATTTGCACTCATCCATTTAGGATAGCTGTTATTTGTGAATAAAGGCCGTGCATAAAAACCCATTCAAGGAGGACAAACAACGCATTGTATGGTACCGGTTCACGGTGGTTTCTGGGGCCAGGACCGAAGCACACAAGCTGCACACCGGCAAGTGCACACAGGACTAAACAGCAGGATTTGTCTGTCTTCGGTTGTCTAACGCATGAAAGCACAAAACAATATCAATCGTTATCTGCATTTTCTGAAAAATGATTTTGGTTATTTTCAGTTTTACCGGCCGATATAAAAGGTCACTACTGCGATTGCAATGACCTTTGCAAATAACATTCCTGCAGGGCGCCCCTTCTTTGTCCGATTCTGGTAAATCTCAAGTAGTTCGCTACTCACTGAATTCGCAGTGTTTCAGAATAGTTAAATAGTGGGAATGATGCGTAGGAATGTTATATTCCCAACTCATTTGAGCGTGAAAATACTGTACGTCGATTGTGACCTTTTATTGCTCCGATGAATTTACGCTTAAGTGTTCTGTTTTAATGTGAAAATATTGATGACATTCGGTCTAGAAACAACAACAACAACAACAACAACAACAACAACAACAACAACAACAACATTTCTCACAAGTGTCCGAAAATGAAGAAAACTGTGCTGGAAACACAATAACGGTTTGTAACCAGATCAAGGTTTGATAAATTTAATCTTCGCCTAATCTGCAGTGAACAGCACCACGCCATTCATCGTCACATACGGATTTTTAAACACACCTGGACAGTTTTCTTCATCAAAGTTATTCCCACAGTCGTCTTCGCCATCACATCTCCAATACTGCAGGTAACAGTTTCTCAGTGGCTTTTTGTCACCAACATCTCCACAACGCAGCTCGTTTGGACTGCATTCATCTGAAATGAAGAAACCAAATATGCAATTGATATTTTTAGCGAATGAAAGCTGACCAATCGAATGCGCGCTACCCAGATCATTTTATCAATTTCCGTCTGTTACAAGGGGAACAGTATTGGTGATTAGGAAATCTACGTAACGATGAGTCAAGTTATGCGCAATTATCCAACTACTTCGTGTGATGGGTGATGAGTATAGAATTGCATAATGCTTTCGCATTATAAGTCTGGGTTTTCAAGCCTAGTTTTAAGATTATCGCCAGAGTCCCACTAAATATCCTGAACAAAATAAGGTGTGGATAAACTTTCGAAAAGGAGATCAGTCTACATCGAGGGCAGGTGATTAGCAAGCGAACGGTCAAACACGGATAGTGATTTCCGAGTAAGAAACAGCTGTTCACAATTTACATGCACATTTCTATGCATAAGTGCTGTTCAATTTGTTAAACATCTATTCCTCGGATAGAACTAGTTTCAATGGGTATGTACTGCGTGTCAGGGTTTTGACACAAGTCTAATATTTTCTCCTAACTTGTCTGACATATTTTATTGAAAGAATAGCGGCGACACTCGATGTACTAGGAACATAAAGAAAAAAATGATTGCAACAAACGGGGAAATTCCCTTCGTTAATTGAAAAGCCAACGTTAAAAGTTAAAAAATCATGATAAGTGTCTGTGAAAAATCGATTCCTATGTGCGTCACGGTAAGGGTAGAAATTAGTTACATTGAAAATGACAGTGAATTTTATTTTCTTCACTACTGGGAAGAAAAACAGACTGACATTTCAAACTATTAGTGGATTCACGTACACCTCATTTCATAGAAGGTCCCGTTATGAATGAAAATAACAGACGGGCCTATGGAATTACAGTATTTATATGGGTGATTCTAAATAAGTAATAGTTGCTAACGATTCACTTATGAACCAAAAATCTCAAGCAAATCATCATAGAGACTGCTCGAGAGCAAAAGAGGTGACTCGTATAACAACAAGACTCTTCACAAATATGAATCACAACTGTGTTTGCATGTAAAACGTACTGCATCTAGTAGGATCCTCATCCGTGCCATCTTCACAATCCTGTTTACCATCACAAAACGCGCTAGATGCGACACAACCGCCTGATTCACACGATCGATAACCCGGACCACAAGCCTCGCGAACGAAGATGCGGCTTTCCGCGGAACTAACCTAAAATAAGAATACAGCAAAACAATCAAGTAAAATATAGCATGGGAATATGAAAACAGACTAATTAAGCGAACTGAGGAATTTATGAAGCTGTCAGATAAGCGGAGTTACAGAATTTGGCTTCCAACAGTTCAGTATAGACTGGTAGAATTCGCGAAATATAGTTACTCCACTGCATTTCTTCATCACTGCTTTTATAATCTACACAGAATCGCATGCTACATGTGACAGTGTTAAGCCCTATCCACCTATGACGGGAGTTTGCAAAATACCGCCAGTATATCGTGTGAAAGCATTGGACATATGATGATAACACAAAAACAAAAAGGAAAACTCCAGTATTCATATTCTTCAATCGCACACACAGCTGGTGGTTTATTTACCAAATGGAAACTACTGAGACTGGGAAATACCTCATAACAAAAACAAAACCAATACAACCAGATTGTCTTCTTGCAAAGCAATAATTAGCTGTCAAACTTTCGTGAGATATCAGTAAAAATATGGGTTCCGCGGGTCTTACGCTACGCGGGCAAAACCTACCCCGTCGGTACACATGTAAGTGGTGTTGTGATCGGACCAGTCCACGGAATGCACAATCAACAGTGCCCGTCCCCCGGTGGACCCAATCACTTCTTCTTTTCCCGGTCGCAAATCTTTGCGATCAGTTCGCATCCAGTACAGCTTGCCTCCGTCATGACCGCTCACAGCGGATAACTCACACAGGAATCGAACAGTTGTGCCCGGTCGTGCATCCAGTTGTTCAGGGTTCACTGAGAGCGCTGCAAATCAAAATCAAGACGACAAATATCTGACTTCAAATAGGTTATAAATTGCGTAAAATTTGAGTAGTCCTACCTCTGAGTTCAAATTAATAAATACTTCACAATAATAAGCAATGGTTTACTGAAAATTAGAGTAAGCTTATTAATATTAAGGAAAGGCCAATGAAGCCTGCGAGTTGGGGAGATAAAACACGAATCAGTAAACTCAATAGACTCAAATGAGACAACAGAATTTTAGACAAATGACATTCTGTCTGAGGACACGAACAAACGAACCACTGTTTCTTAGTAAATTCGTTTCCCATCGTCTGGCCACCACTAGGTCATTCGCCAAATTAGACTGTTCCTGTTATGTGAAATCTTTTCTGTGTACTCATCCTCATTTGGCTCAAATTAGTAATGAATTACCTAAAGTTTTTGAAATCCGGCTAAAAACGATTGGTAAGTTTTCAGCGCTACGTTGCCTTCGTAATTAACATTTATAATTGGCTTGGTAAAGCATTCTTTTCACTGGCTTTGCAATGAAAATGTTTAGTCAGAGAACTGAGAAATTCATTCGCAGGTAGAAATCGTCAACCTAGGTGATAAGGTATGTGGATAACACTGAAATCAAAGAGACAATTCATCTCCATGAAACAAACGATTACCAGAATCAGACATGAAGTTGATGTGAGCACGTGAATTGAGATCCGAAATCGCCAATGCCATAATAAATACTGTTCATTTAATTAGAACCATGTGATGACTCTGAATATCTGTTCCACACAATAAAGGTTAGCATTACGGTGCATCAGAAATACAGAGAGAGAGAGGGAGAGGGAAAAAAACGAAAAAAAAAACAAAAAAAAAAAACGAAGGAGGAGTGAGAGGAGAACCAACGGAAAGGTGAACTTGCTTCGTGTTTTGACAATCAATTCGGAGATTGCTTTCATGTTCAGTGCACGGCAAACGTATGTGCCCTCATGGTACTTCTGTACATTGTGAATACTGATAAACGAAGTGGCCGGTGTGGCAGCGGGACGTTCGATATTCACATCCGGATGAACCAAAACTTCGTCTTCACTGCCTTTTGGGATGAACGACCAATCTATGAGTTGATTACCATTTTCGCGACCACTTAGTCGACAGTGGAACTCTGTGCTCTCTCCCGCGTTTGCCCAGCACGTGTCTGATTCCGGCTCCGTGCCCAATCCCAGAGTAACTGTTGCAGTTCAAACATGTCAAAATAGTATAACAAATATAAAAGAGGTTCCATTTACGTTAAAATCTGGGTGCACGTGTAACTTTCGCTTGCAATAGAGCTCCACCAAACTGCATGCTACCTTCAAACCGATAGGAATTAAATACAACGAGATAATAATTTTGATAAATCAATTGTTTTAAATAAGCTGAGGAGTTTTAAGCCTTCTAAGGATGATACAAAGAAAACAGCCGACGTATTTTTTGTTGTAAGATTTCCTTGAAATCTAATTGAATGATGTACCCCTGCAATGTCTTGGTAACTCTACACAAAAGAAAGATGCTTAGCTATGATTCAGCCAAATCCATGAGGAGGAATTGGGATTTTCAAAATAATCTGACGGAAATTCAAGATCTACAATTCAAATCTGGCACAAAAACCGAATTCTTATTGTACGTATACAGAGTGGGACGGATAGGAGCTCACCTTATCAGATTGGCTTGACGAAAGTGAATGAAAATATATAGCACAACATGAAGCAAATATTTCTGCTTATTTAGAAAATATGGGTCATAAACCCTGACAAACAAATAGCAGATAATGAAAATGACCCAATTTGTCGCCTACGCAACTATTTTCCCCAGTTGTAAAAAGTCTGTGGCTCAAAGCCATTTGTCACCCAGGCTACCTGTGATACCGCTAGCTAAGTGGAAGGAATACGGTCAGAAATAGACCAACCGAGGTTGAAAAAACGAGTTGTCAAACGGTAAATTCTTTCGTCCCTCGGTTAAATAAGTTAACCCAACTAAGTTGAAATGAAAGCATGAGTTAGGCGATCGAATATTTCCATTTAAACCAGTGATGCTTGTGTGTGTGTGCGTGTTTGTTTATTTGGATAAATTAAGGCAGCTATTCAATGCTTCTCAGCTGTTACCCATTTTCTAATCTACTTCATTAAGTTAGTTCCTTTTCTTCAGCTACACTATATTTTTCATCCCATCAGACTAATGGTCCATGAGGAAGGTGGCTATTACATTGGGACACACTTGCTTTCATCCACGCGTCTAAATGTTATCCACTTGGGCAATGGTTCTGATTGAGCTGACATCATATTTTTGAACACATGCAAATGGAAATTCGACTGTTTTTATTTGTTATTTCTCTTCAGCAAGCCGTGCGATTGGTTCATCTAGGAAACGTTTATTTTAACATTACAAGTAGTTTGATCAGAGATTTACCAAATTTGGAATGTCGCATTCAAACAGCCTGTGAATAGTTGAGGATTCAACCCGATGCTTTCTGATAGCGGGGAATCACTTACCCGGTCGTTGAATGAGCTGCACTTGCAACGTTTTCTCCCCCATATGACACACATAATGCCCTTCGTGTTGCGGCTGCAAGTCGTTCGTTAACAAAATACTCGCTTTGATTCGATCGATTCGATTCAACCCCTCCGGAATCGGACCACCATTGAAGGTCCATTGTATCTGTTATTTAGGAGTTACGCATGTCAGTCAATTGCATCCGTACAGCGTCATGATTAAAAATGGCGGGGGGAGGGGAAGGGATTAGACGTCAGATTTATAATATTGATGAATGTAAGTATAAATTAGGCGAGATTAAACATTGTTATCCGTGAAATTCATGTGAATACTGTTGGTCTTAATGAACTAAATGACTGTCATTCAAGATACAAACTGAAGAGATTTGACTTGTCAATTCTGATCATTCCAGCCAGACGTTAGCTCTGTTGGCACTGTGCCTAAACATACACCACCCTGCTGATAGGTCGAATCTCGGGCATTCCGGTGGATATGGCGTACTGATTAGCAGAAAATGA